GACCGAGTTTCTCTCTCGTTGCCCAGGCTGGATGGAGTGCAACGGCATGATCTTGGCTGACTGCAACTTCCACCTCCCAGGTTCAAGCGATTCCCGTGCCTCAGCCTCCCGAGTAGCTGGGCTCACAGGTGTGTGCTACCAGGCCTGGCTAATTTTGTACTTTTAGTAGAGACACGGTTTCACCATGTTGCCCAGGCTGGTCTTGAACTCCCGACCTCAAGTGATCTGCCTATCTCTCAAAGTGCTGAGCCACCATGCCTGGCGTTTTTTAAAAAAATTTTTTTCTTTTTATTTTTGAGACACAGTCTTGCTCTGTAACCCAGGCAGAAGTACAGTGGAGCAGTCTTGGTACACTGCAGCCTTTGCCTCCTGGGTTCAGGCAATTCTCATGCCTCAGGCTCCCAAGTAGCTGGGATTATAGGTGTGTGCCACCATGCCCGGCTAATTTTTGTATGTTTAGTAGAGAGACACGGTTTTGCCATGTTGGCCAGACTGGTCTTGAACGCCTGACCTCAGGTGATCTGCCTGCCTTTCGAAGTGCTGAGATCATAGACGTCAGCCACCACGCCCAACCTTAGGCTCTTTTAAGTAGACCTCTGCGATGAAAGGAAAACCCCATTACATTAGTACAGTCTTTACAATATGCAAAAATACTTCCCATCTGTGATTTTATTGGTTTCTCATAACTTTGTTAGACAGTAGGACAGATATTAGACAATAGGATAGGCATTATTATCCCAACCTTGCAGATGAGGAAACTGAGCCTTGGAGAGCTCACAGTCTAAAGTCGCAGTTAATAAACGGAGCGGCAAGTGACAGAGTTGCAAAGCCCCCTATTTCACACATTCTGGCATTTAAACCTAGGGCAGGACCTGACCTTTCATCTTTGGCTTCACCTGTAGACTTCTTAGAGGGATGATCCAGCTTGCAGTTCCCATGTGTTAGGGATTTGTCCTGGCTTCTCTGCTCTTGGAGGCAGAGATCTCTTGAGGTTGGAGTGCCATACAATATTAACACTGCATATCATTTTCATTCCTTGTGCCCCCAGAAAGCCAGCAGGTGCAGGGTGGCATTCCTCACTAGTGCAACGACAGGAGGCTTCTGGGGCAGGTAGATCAACTTTATTTCAGATTTTATAATCAATTTAGCTCGTACTAATTGGTTGGATAATGATGCTTTACATTTCCGAAGACATTTAGTTGGCATCTATAAAAAGCCCACAAGCATTTGCTAAGCAGGTGCAACTGAAATCGAAACATGAATTCATTATTATGATGATTGCTCCTCTTGGGCACAGCTACGCAGCAGCCCAGGCCCTGCGGTCTTTTAACCTTTTGTGGAGGCCGGCACACGCAGTTTCTCTCACATGGAATTGCTGGCCATTTCAGATCTGCCCTCTATCTTGCTAAGCCCTTTGTAATAAGACATCAGGATTGGATACTCTACCTTTGAAGCCTTTGTCCATAATGTATGTGTTCTGACGTCTATCCATTCCACAAACACCTGTGTAAAAATATCATGTAAGGAAAGAAAATATGGGGTAAGATTTACTTAGACTGATTGAGTGCTTTCTTTTTTCTTGCTTTTCCCCCCCTCTCTCCCCTACCCAGAAAATAAATAGTTGTTTATTGCTAGAAAATGATTTTGGGTTTAAGCTACCTGAAATTGTTTTGGTTATAGGAATTCTTCAAAGGCTCATAAGCATTAAGGCAAGCCACAGCGACCCCTGGTATATTCAGCACTCCTTCCCTTTAACCTTCACCATAGGGGAATGTCTTTCAGGAAGTAATAAAATGCTGTCCTCATGCCACCTGGAGTCCCTGTAGGTGACACTCCAGGCTCCAAGGGTATAGGATAAGGAATGAAGTAGAACCAGTTCTTTGCTTGAGGGCAGGCTGTATGACATTCCAAATCACAGCTCTGTTGGAATTTGGAATGGGTTTGAAGACAGTATTTATCACCTCGCAGCTCTGGTCCTCTCTGTCCTCTCCTGGATCCAAGGCTCATCTGAGGGGAGCCAGAGAGAAAGAAAGGGGGACAGGTGGCTGAGGTTCTTGATGAGTCATCTTTATATAGGACGTACAAGACATTTCCTTCCACAGCCAGTTCTCTTAGTTACTCATTTTTTGGGGTGGACCATTTATACATAATGTAGAGTTGTTTTTGAAAAGTATTACCAATGTTTTTAGCCCTAAGTATTTTTTTCTACCATTTGGCTGTCAGTTTTTTCCTAGGTTCCAACAACGCATGATGGCCGTCAGCCTCAGCCAGAGGCTTCAGGGACTAAGCTTGGGCTCTTTGCTGCTGGTGATCCCAGAAAAGAAATTGTTTGACATTTCTAAGGTGGGACAGGAATGACTCTGGCTCAAGGTCAGAGCCATTTTTTCTTCCAGCTTTTAACTGAGGACACAGTGCCAAGCAAGACCTGCAGCAAGTGCTTACTAAAATACAGTTTGACTCCCCTTGACTCTTCCCAGTTTACCTGTTGCTATTCGGATTCCTTCCTGTAGCTCCCCTACATAGAGCTGTCATGTTGAATTTGAAAGGGTCTACTCCCATCTGCCTACCTTCCACAGGATTACCGAGAGACACGGCAGAGCCAGGCCCAAGATTTTCTTTCAAGTTTGCTTTTTGAGATGGAGTCTCGCTCTGTCACCTAGGCTGAAGTGCAGTGGCGCAATCTCTGCTTACTGCAACCTTCACCTCCCGGGTTCAAGTGATTCTCCTGTCTCAGCCCCCCTAGTAGCTGGGATCACAGGCATGTGCCACCATGCCTATTTTTTTTTTTTTTTTAAAGTAGAGATGGGGGTCTCACCATGTTGGCCAGGCTGGTCTCGAACTCTTGACCTCAAGTGATCTGCCCGCCTCAGCCTCCCAAAGTGTTGGGACTACAGCTGTGAGCCACTGTGCCTGGCCTCAAGTTTGCTATTTTTCTGAAAGGCTTATAGGAACCTGTGCCCTTCAGAATCATGACTGCAGCCGTCTATATATGGACATCAGTTCAGCACTTTATACCACAGAAGGACTTTTTTTGCCTTCCCTGAGGGAGAGTGGCTAGGCTAACTTTTCCTCCTTTTTACAGAGCAGGAAACAGGCCGAAAGAGCAACAGTGACTTGTCCAAAACCACACCAGCAAGTGAGAAAAGTCGAGTTACAGCTAGAGCCCGATCCCTCCAGGTACTCTTTCCCACTGGACACCAGCCTGCGTGGGTATAGGACAAAAAATAACAGCGCATGGTGCTCTGGCTACACTAGTTAAAGAGTGAGATCTGTACAGCTGGGAGAAATCTGGCCTAGCTCAGGGGACACTCCCCTGTGGAAAGAGGTATGGGGTGGTGGTAGGTCTGTGTGTGTGTATATTGTCGGTAGAATGAGGGAGATTATAGTTGGTGGGGTTACCAGATGCCCTGGATACTGTCCAGGAAACCCACAGCTCCTGAGTATAGGCCCAGGGTCCAGGCAGCCCATGGCTGCTCGGTGGGCAGATGAATTCAGAACCTTCACTCTCCTTAGTGTTGCTGGGCCCAGGACCTGCAGGGATTAGTAGAGCAGCACAGTTTCTTTAGAGTTCTAGAAACCAGCCAGAGCCTGAGGTCAGGCCCAGAGTTGTCTGGTATGCTAAGGCCCTGCCCCAGGGTGCCCCAGAGGAGCCACTTTGTAGGGAGGCCACATTCTCTGTTCATTGATTGCGCTTATTCCTATGACACCTTCTGTAACTCCTACCCACATGTTCCCATCTCAGGGCTAACCTTCCAAGTCTCTTTTCTGTGTCTCTCCCAAGCCACCAAGTTTCAGCCCGGGCTGTACTCAGTACATGAATACAGATGATGTTGGTTGATACATCCTGCCCCAGCCTCTCCAGATCCCTGCTTGACAACCCTACCTAGTGATCTGAGAAAGCTTAGTTTGGGTTACTGGGGTTTCTGGAGTCTCTGGGAGACACTGGACTTAGTGGCTAGAGAGCTAACTCCCTGGTACCCACTCCAACAGGGCCCAGAGAACCCCAAAGATGTCACCATCCCCAAGTCATTTTCAAATGGTTTTGGGTGGTATTTTGTGGCCTGTAGGGAGGGCGGTTTTTTTTGGATCTTGTCCACTCCAAGCAGCGTGTTTGTCCACATCCACTGTCCACTATGGGAACAGAATGGGGAAGATCCAGACAGGTTTCCATCTTTAGATAGGGGATTGGGCTGGTAGACATGTCCGGAGGGAAGAGGGTTTAAAAGGGAGAGTTCTGGGACCATGGGGTAGGGGTAAAGGTGCAGGGGTGGGGATTAGGGCAGGTGCTGGGTCTGTCTGGCATGAGAGGGTGGAGGGTAGGGCTGGGGTCTGACCTGGTGAGTGTGGCTCAGCGGGGCGGCTGAGGTGTCTAAGTTCAATGTAGAAGTCCTCGGGTGGGTACCTGGCCTCCAGGGCACTGATCTGGAAATGGGAGTCTAGTGAGAGGAATGACAGGGAGGAGCCATTATTCCCAGGGCCCTGCTATGGCAGGGGAAGGGGGTAGAATGTACACAAGTGGGTCAGGGTGAGGCAGGCTGGAAGGACTCAGGGTCTCTGTGTATAGCATCCAAAGGGTCCAGGGCCAGCAGGGCCAGGGGAATCTTCTAGAGCCAAGGTCATCTGCCTTGTTTCCCTTCTCCCACCCTCCCTCCGCAGGAATTAGTGCTCCTCCACCAAGGCAGAGGGAAGAAGCCCTTGAAAAGGGCACCCTGGTAGGGCCTGCGTCAGGCAGAGATTCCTATCCAGATGGTGAGTGTGTCTTTTGCTTCCATCTGGAATCCCTAGATCCTGGCCCTGGTTTTCTCCCTTGTGGCCCCTGGGTCATAGCAGGGACTTATCCCCTAATATAGTAATGGAAGGGAGTCTTGGGCGTCATCTGCTTGTGACAGCCAGAATTTCTCCCTGGGGGAAACCATGTTCAGGACTCATAACCCTTTCCCTTTGAGCTGGGTCCCTCTCAATATGGAAGAAGAAGAATAGGGTGGAACATGATGGTGGGGACCAGACTCAAACCACTACTGACCTAACACGTTCACATAGCTGTAGGGGGTCCAGCTTGCTGTGTCTCTGTCAAGGGACTTGTTACTGAGCTGTTTGGAGAGTAGGAGAGCCAGTTAATATCTGGTGCCCCAGGTGCCCCTCCCCAGTCTTCACTTTGCCTAGCGCCAGTGCACCCACCCGGTGATAATCCTGATACACCTGGGTCCTAGGCCACTGAGAGAAAGGGGGAGCTAGGAGTTCCATGACAGGCCACCATGGTGGTTGGTGCCAGTAGGAACAGAACATTCCCCACCCAAGCTGTTGGGCTGAAGTTGTAGGGTTCCCAGCAAAACAAAGCTGGTCCCAACAGAGGAAGCAGATTAGCTGAGGGTGGGGCTGAGCTTTAGGAGAGGGGCCTCTGGTGATGTCTCAGCTGCACCATGAGGCCATCTCCAGCACAGAGGGGAGTCTTGAGGCTGCCTGCAATATCACTGTCACCTCTGCCACCTGATCATGATTTGGGCTGAACGTGAGATTTTCCTTTTCCTGTGACCAAAGGAAAGCTTCAGAACAGGGTGTCTTGAGACTCATACTGCATCCCTTCTTTCTCTGCATTCTCACAGCTGCCCTTCATATATGAGGCAAGGACGGTTATCCTCATTTCACAGGTGGCAACCTGAGTCCCGACTTTTGTGTGCCTTGCTCGTGAACACACAAGGAGTCAGTAGCAGAGCTGTGTCTGGAGCTCAGGTCTCAGCTCCTAGTGCCATGTCCTTTCCATGTCATCACAGCTGCCTGCCTCTGCTGAAGATGCCCTGTCTGTTAGGCTGAGGGATCCTTAACCACAGAGAGCCACCCTGGGTCCTTGGGCTAAGGTGACCCAGAGGATCACCAGGTTGGCTCCTCTGCAGTAATTCTAGCCCCTTAGCAAAAGAGCGTGGAGGCTGAGAGTGGCCCTGGTGATGGTGGTTGCCCTTGAGGCTGTATAGTATCTGTTACTGTTGCTGCACCAGGTCTGCGGCAGAAGGCATGGTCTGTGGGCTGGTGGTCATTCTCCATGAGACAGACAGGGAAGAAAGATTTCTAGAACTCCAGGGCATAGCTTTGGACTGTGGAAGCCATGCTTTTGGCCCTGAATGGATATTATGGGAAGCCAGGAGTCCCGAGATTCCCACTCCCACCATGGCCCTGCTCCCTGCTGTTCTGCGTCTAAGGCACAGGTGGGTGTCTGTCTGGAGGTATGCAGTGTGAGCCTCTCAGACCTGTCCTTGGGGCTGTTCTTCCTCACTTTGTGTTTCCCACTCTGCCTGGTATGGGTCCGGGCACATTAAGGGAGCTCTCTCAATTATCTACACAAAGGTGCTGATACATCCCTGCTCAAGGGCCTGTGACTGTAAGGAGGACGTCTTGCCAACAGCCAGGGTTATGCTGGAAGCTGTCAGGGAAATTCCTGTCCAGGAGCGTGCACACCTGCCATGAAGACCTACAGAACTCACTGTCCACAGAACACTGGCTATGGCTGAAGTTTGGGTTCCACAGCCCTTGTGTTGATTCAGATTTCAACAAATGATTATGAGTGGGTACTGATGACATGGGTATGTTCAGGTAAAAGAAACATTGTTAGGTGGTTATCTGAATAGCAGTAGTTATTCTATGATATGCCAGTTGGACAGATGGTGTTGGTAGCACACTGCAGTGATTTGTGGTAGGTGGTCTAGTGTTTGGATTACATGTTGACGTGGCAAAAGAAGTGTCTACATGATATACATGATTCCATGGCTCGGTACCAGTTGGTTACACACAGGGTGCAGGGGTATGTGTTAGACTGAGTGATGCCGTGGGTTGCTTACACAGCACTGGGCTCCGTGTAACATGCTGGCTCCATGACATGCTTCAGAGTGTTTACATGTACCTTCCATGTGGGGGTACAATTCCTTCTTGGGCAGAGGTGAGGGTTAAATGAGAGGGCAGTGGGTGGGGGCTGGGGAGTCAGGGGCCCGGTACCTTGGCGGGGCTGTTCCTGTCCAGAGTGCTGGCCTGGCTGGTGTTAGGCCCCCCACACGCCAGTGCGTGGTAGCTGGAATTGGAAAAGCAGTGGGCATGGCTGCTACTTTGAGACAAATCTGGGAAGAGAACAAGGTGCCACATACCATCATACCCCTGCACCTGGCATGAGATACCCCCAGTACTAATGCTTGGGCTGGGAGCCCTGAGAGAGCCCTGCAAAGACAAATAGCCAAGTACCCATCCCCTACGCTTCCTGGCATCCATTACCCCTACTGAAATCTGGAGAGCCTGATTTGCTCTTTCCCTTATGCTGGCCCTCCCTGCAGCATGCAGGTTAGGCTCACCAGTGACAAGGGGGGCACCACCAACTGGAGCCTGGATGGGGCATGTTGGCTTTAATAGCCTCACATGTCCCTGGGTCCCTATTTAGGGCTGGGCGGACCCTCTCCTGCTTCCTTCTAGGGTTACATCCTGGTAATGAGATCATACAGAGAATCTCACTCTTCTTGACCCTGCCCTTCCCTCCTAAGGGAACCAGAACCTCTCCACAGGGCCGGGGATTGCCAGAGGAATGGCATAGGAAACCATAGCCAACCTTCTCAGTGTAGTCATAGAAGAAAATCCCCAAATCTCCTGTGTGGGAGATGTCTGCTTTGGCTGAAGCCAGTGTGGCATGTGCACCAGGAACCCCTTGAAGGCATGGTGTGCACTGGCCTGCCTCTGTCTATCCTGCAGTGCCTCGCATGAAGCTGGACACACAGAAGGTAGTGCTTGGCAGGAATGGGCTGAAGTGATCTGGGTTTTCTAAGCACAAGATGCAGGAGGCTGCAGATGAGCCATGTGCCATGGAGCCATCTGGAGAGAGCTGTTACCTTCTGCTCATCCAGACAGGCTCGGCCTTGTATGGCCCAGGGTTATGTGGCAATTTCAGAGCATTCTGGCCTCTACTGTTTAAATATGAAGCAAAAAACCTTTCTTATTTCCAAGGCAGGAGTCCAGGGGAAAGGAAGGATATGACCCAGCAGCCCCACCTCCACCCCACTCAGACTCCCAAATAAAATACCTGCCGGAGCTGTTCACCGCTGTGGTGGATGCACTTGGCTCTGGCACACTTGCCAGAGTGACATTGTCCAGACTTTCAGACCTCCCCCAAGTCAGGTACTGTCCTCTTATGCTGTACTAATAGGGCCCTCCTAACTGGGAACTGGGAGGGAGGGTTGTCCTGAGGCCTTTAGAGAATCAGAAATGGACAGGCTCTGGGCAGTGGGCCCCAAGGTCTAGCTTCCTGAGGTGGTACCAACATCAGGTTGGGGAGATGGTTCCCTGGAGAGCTTAGGGAAGTGACTGCTTAGTGTGAGTGCTCCGGAGGCTGATGCCTAGTAAGGATAGGGACGCTCTGGGAAGATGGGAAGAGGCTCCTAGCCGTAGCTGCTCAGAGCTAGGGACCAGTACCTTTCCTAGGTAGGCTCCTGCTCCCCACCCCCACTGTCACTCCAGGGGAGACTGAGCTTCCACATCCACCCCAGCAGCCAACCCGACAGGCACAACCATTCCTGGGGTGTGTGTGTGGAGGGGAAGACGAGGGAGGCCAGGAGCATGGCCCTTACCTGAGAGAGAGTAGTCAGTGCTGGTCATCCTCATAGCAGGTGTGTAGGAGACGCGGGGAGCTAGGTCTCGGCCCTTCTCTTTCTGCCGCCGCTGGTGCCAGGCAAATAGACCCAGCAGCACCACAATGAGGAACAGCAGCAGCATGATGCCTGTGACAGCACCCACCGAGTGCTGCTCTGCACCCAGGGCTGGGCTGATCTTGGTGTAGGGGTTCAGCTCCTCCATCATGAGGGCAGCTGTGGGCAGAGGGAGGGCCTGAGCCTGGGGCTGGCCTGCTTGCACTTCAGATCTCCTGGGGCTGGGCTCAGATGCCCATAACCCCTCTAATAAGGTAGGAGACCTGGTTCTGGCGTTGGCCCGATTCCCCAGTCCCTATGTGACTACCCCCAGCCCTCACCACTAAAGGGGATGGAGTCCCAGGGTCATGACAAGAAGTGACTGACTGATTTTACTGTGTTCCAAAAATGAGTTAGCGATATTCACTCACTCTCTCCAGCAGCCCTATGAAGGGACTCGTATTTTCCTGTCACAGATGAAAAAACCAAGTTCCCAAAAGAAATTGTGCCCAAGATTACATAGCCTGTAATTGGCGGAGTCAGGTTTCTCAGGAGTCGGGAAAACATGAACACAGCCCCTCTCCCTGCTTACCAGTTGTGTGGCTCAGAGTCCCTGGTTGTGAGCACCAAGTGATAAACTGGCAAGGAGAGCTCTAAGTGCTGTGCTATTATTTCCAGGATTACTGCCCATAGGACCCTTCTTGGTTTCATATGTATATATATATATATTTGTCTGTGTGTGTGTGTGCGCGCGTGTGTGTGCGCGCGCGCGCTGCCCGCACCCTCCGTGCTGATGCTTCGTCTAGAGGCTGTCCTGCCAGGCCTGCAGTGTCTAGACTCCTCCTTGGCTGTTGGCTGCTGGCCGACATCCCTAGGGAGGTAAAAGTGCTGCATTATCGTTCTCAGTGATTTATCCTCAGAATGCAAGGGAAATCTGTCTTTTGGCTCCTTTTCTATAATGTGGATAATTGAGATCCCATTTTCATTCCCCATCTCCTAGAACCAACATGTTTGCAGCACGTCATAAAGGGCTTTTGTGTAACAAAGCCAGTATTTATGGAGTGTTCACTTAGGTGTCAGGGACCATGCTGAATCTTTTACCCATACTGTCTCAACTTGATCCTCACCACTGGACCCTGGGACTCCATCTCCTTTAGGCACTATGAGGTGTCATCTGACCATAGTATTACAACCAGGGTCGAGCCCCTGTGGGCTCCTTGACCTTCAGAGTAATTGTGCGTCATGTGGGAAGACAGTGATTAATCTACTCTTCCCACTTACATGTGGAGTAACAGGCCTAGCAAAACAAAATGACCCACTCAACGACACCTAGCGGGCAATGGCCAGACCAGAGCTTGGCAGATATTCTAACGTGGTCTGGTGGCCTTTCCACAGTACCAGCTTGTGGTTACCCTTGCTTGGCTCATGGGAAACTTGCCAAGGGTGAGCCCGGGGAAGCTGTGACTGAGGGACTGCCTGCCCCTCATGTCTCTCCCGCACTTGGAGCCTCTGCAGCCCACCCTGTTCCTGCTGTCCTCACAAATGTGAATAAAGGGAATTGTCATCAAATCCAGCCGTTCCAGTTGGAATCTCCCCAGAACCTCCATGGGGCCCTTTCCACAGAGCCCAGGGGCTCTGCCACCTGTGTATTACCTTGGTCACACCTGATTCCTTTGAAGCCAGGGCTGCAGTAACAGGTGCCGGTGACATGGTCACAGGTGGAGTTGTTCATGCACTCACATAGCTGCTGACAGCCATAGCCAAAGGTTCCTGGGGCACACCCTGTGTGGCACAAAGAGTTAGGGTAGAGGACCCACTCACTCTGCACCCCTCCCGTTCCATGTGTAGACAGCTATGGCAGTAAGCCTGCTCTGCCTCCCACTGAGTGAAGCCTATTCCCTTAGCTCCTGTTGTGCTTTGGCTAGATACTTGGGGGTGGACAGAACATTTATAGCCCTGAGTGGGGGACACAAGGACAGAGGGGGAGAGAGCAGGGCCCACTCACCCCTACTTTCTCCTCGTGCAACACATGTAAGCAGTATCTTCCACCTGCTAGGCCCTGATCTGAGTGCGTAGGGACTTCAAAGATTAATAAAAAAAGATCCTGCCTCTCACTGTTTTCTCATGACCTGCTACGGCCTTTGCCCTGCCCTAAATGCCCCCCACCTCCTCCCAACTGAAGGGAGACATTCTTCAAACAACAACGTAGGCACAACCTTCCTCAGCATTTTTCCTCGGAAGTAGCCCCCAAAGTCAACGGACCACAGGGTACAGAGCCCTGAGTGAGTGTCCCCTGAAGCAGGAGGTGATACAGCAGCATCACCCGGATCAGGGGTCAGGGCAGCTTACTCTGCTCGCAGTGTTGTCCAGTGAAGCCCGTGCGGCAGGTGCACTTGCCACTGATGTGGTCACAGCTGGCGCCATTCTGACACTGGCATACGCGCCCACAGTCCTTCCCAAAAAATGCTGCTGGGCAGCCTAGAGAAATAGGATTTCCAGTCACAAGAGTTGCCGCTGGATGGGGACAAGGGCAGAGGTGTAGCGGGGGCCAGACCGGGCTGCTTTCTTTTTTTTTACGGAGCATGGGATGAAGACTAGTGAGCTCCTGCACCAGAGCTGTCTCCCTGCTCAGGCTTTTCATTCTGAAGGGGCAGGGGCGAGGTGATCCTTGCCTTTCCAAGACAGAGGGGCTTAGGAACCACAGGCCAGGCTCGGGTCTCCTTCCTGTGTGGCCACAGGCTGCTCCTCTCCACCCTGGGCCCCACTGTCCAAGGCGGGTCTGGTCTTGGTGATTGCCGGGGTACCTTGCAGCCCTGACCTTTCAGGAGTTTGGGCTTGTTCATCCCCTGAACCCCGTCAGGTCTGGAGCTGCCCCTGCAGAGCTCCTCAGTTCTCATGGGGCAGGAGTCAGGTACCAGTCCTGGGGCCGGCTTCCTTCCTCCCTTCCTGCTGGTTTGGACAATGCCCACCGTGGCCAGTAGGCCGCAGCATGGGATTCTAAGTGGCTGGGAGGCCAGGAGGTGGGGCTTACGCTGTGTGCAGAAGAGTCCAGTCCAGCCAGGGGTGCAGTGGCAGGCCCCGTCCTCGGCGCTGCAGCGTGCCCCGTTGTGGCAGCTGCATGTGTGGAAGCAGGCAGGGCCCCAGAACCCGGGTGGGCAAGCTAGGATGTGGGTGGAATGCAGAGGGTGAGGGGAAGGTGGAGAGGGAGAAGAAGGGGGGGTACACGTCAGAGCCAAGATGCCACAATGGACCTGGCTGACATTTCCTGGCTTTCAGGGGCTTCACACACTGTTCCCAGAATTCCTGCACTTACCTCTTGGCATAGTTACCCAGGATTCCCATTAAGCCCAGGTTCTCTGCCTCTCTGCCCACCCTCCAAGGCTTTGATGACTGACTCAGCAGCGTTCTGAGGGCCCCTGAGCCTCCCCTCTCGGGGACTGACTGATTTGGAGCATGTGGGTAAACACTGTGGTTTACCATGTATGTACTGTGTGTGCTTTCCCCACGAGAATGGGGACTTTGCTAGGGCAGGAGCTTTCTCCTCTTTTAGCTGGTGAGCTCCCAAGGATGGAGCCTGTGTCTCCCCATCATAATAGAAATTCCCTCAACCATCTAACTAGAACGTCTCCAAGGGTACTGGCTAGGTCTCACCTGTCAGACAAGGAGCTCCACAGGGTCCCTGTCCTTAGTTTGGGGGCTTCTGGAGACGGGCTGTTCCCTCCACATCAGATTGGTGCACTTTACATGAACAGCCCCTAGGACATCATTCACACGGGCCATCCAGAGGGCACCATACCCTCCTGAGGTGGCTGCCCTGGCCCCATCTCACTTCCCTACTCCCAAACTCAAGCACGCTGGTCCTTGCCCAGGTGTCAGTGGAATGTTAAGTCTCAGAATTCATAGCATTAATGGTACCATCAACAATATCAATACCTTTAATATCAATAATACCAATGGTCAATCCTGATAATCTATCATGTTAGTTATAGAGCTAAATGGGGGCTCATTCCTACATGCAGGAGATTTCATCCCTGGAAGTGGAGGTACCAGGGCAGAGAGGTTTTGGGTCTGATCCCAGGTAGGGGCATTCCCAGATGGCAGCAGCTTACCCTGTGAGCAGTCCTTGCCAATCCATCCAGGGAAGCACTGGCAGGAGCCATCGATAGGGCTGCAGGTCCCGTTGTTGGCACAGGAACAGAGCTGGGCACAGTCCTGCCCAAAGTGTCCTCCAGCGCACACTGTGGGCACAGGGCAGCCTGGCACCCGTCCTCCCACTGTGTTCCTCTGACTTCCACCCACAGCCTCATCCCTAGATGTTCTCAAGCCAAAGCCATGATCACCCCGAGGTCATGGATCTGGATAGAAACTGCTCACCTTGGCACCCTCATCACCCTTCTGCATTTGCACATGAATGAGTTGCCCCTCTCATGCCTACAGCTGCATTCTTCAGGAGGCTCTATAATGATTGTGATTAAGAACAGCCTGAGGCCCATGGAGGCAGGACCACCTGACTTAGGTCTCACAGATGAGAAGCGGCAGGCTGAGCTTATGGACCCACAGTCCAGTGCTCCCTGTACTGCTCCACAGCCTTCTGCTTTCCATTACCACCTTCGCCAGCATCACGGATTCCACAACCACGAGGATAGAGAATATGTACAGCTGGAAGGAGAGGGGCAAAGGCTGTGTGGCAGGCCTGCCTGCGGCCTGACTGTCCCTGCCTGCACTCCAGCCTGGGTTACAGAGCATCCCCATTGCTGCAAAAGTCAGTCAGTCCTTGGAGATCAGCACAGAGGATCACAGGAAGGTGCTGATTCTTGAAGAGACGTGACTTCCCCAGGACCCAGGTCCCTCACATTTTGGGCTGAAACCCTCTGCGTTACACCACACTGCCTCATATTGGTAGTCCTTCCCCAGCCAGACGGTGGGCAGCTAGCGGCTGGGATCTGCATCTACTCAGTGCCTTTCCTGAATATGATTAGTTAAGAAAGGCAGCATGGTGGACCAGACTCTCCAGTCCAAAGCCTTGGATTTAGGTCCAAGTTTTCTTTATGTATTCAACAAACATATACATGGCACTTAAATGCACCAGCCACTCTTCAGTGTGCTTCACGAATACAGGCATACCTTAGAGATGCGGGTTTGGTTCCAGACCACTGCAAGTGCATATTGTAGTAAAGTGAGTCACACAGATGTTTGGGTTTCCCAGAGCATATAAAAATTACGGTTACATTATACCATGGTCTATTAAGTGTGCAATAGCCTTATGTCTAAAAAACAATGTACATGCCTTGATTAAAAAACACTTTATTGCAAAAAAAATGCTGACAAAGATATGAAGTGTGTACATGGTGTTGGAACGTGGCACCGACAGGCTTGCTTAAGGCAGGGTTGCCACAAAGCTTTGCTTTTTTTGTTTTTGAGATGGAGTCTCACTGCGTTGCCCAGGCTGGAGTGCAGTGGTGCGATCTCAGCTCACTGCAACTTCTGCTTCCCGGGTTCAAGTGATTCTCCTGGCTCAGCCTCCCTAGTGCTGGGATTATAGGCGCGTGCTATCACATCTGGCTAATTTTTGTATTTTTGGTAGAGACAGGGTTTCACAATGTTGGCTAGGCTGGTCTTGAACTCCTGACCTCAAACAATCCACCCACCTTGGCCTCCCAAAGTGCTGTGATTATAGGCCTGAACCACCGCACCCAGCCAAACCTTTAATTTGTTAAAAACAACAAACAAAATGCAGTTTCTGTGAAACACAATAAAACAAGGTATGCCTGTATTTAGTTCACTGAATCTTGGAATACTCTTATTATTATATAGTCTCGTTATGCCTTATCATTAACTCTACTTTATAGATGAGAAACTGAGGCAAGTTAAGTAACTTGCCCAAGGTCATACACAACTAGGGAGTTGTACCGCTGGCTAAGTGCCTTTGAGGAAATCACAACACCTGTCTTGGTCTCTGTTTCCTCATCTTTGAGATGGGAATGGAAACCCTCACCAGTCGTCCTAGGGCCATGGTTAGTAGCTGTGGCAGGCTGGCTGATTCGGGGCACCTGTGCTTCCCCTGGCAGAAACCTTAGCTCCCTTCCAGAAAATTCCACTGCCAAGAGGGTGACATGCATTTCACCTGTCTGCAGCTCAGGCTCCAGATTTTTGAAAAGCAGGCTGCCCACCCTCTTCTTTCCTGCCGCTGGGAGGTGCTTGATTTGGGGAACCCCTCTGTGGGGAGTAGGGTGCCAGAGCTGGCTCTCCCTACCGCACCCCCAAAACGCACTCAGCGTCTCTAACAAGACGGTCTTATCTTTGAAGCCTTTCTCACATACATGAGGCCAACAAATTTACCCAAAGAGCTGCTAATACGATCAATCTAATACCTTAATTGGTCGACTTCATTGCTGAATCAAGAGTAAGGTAAAGAGAGGGGCGGTGGACAGAATGAGGCTTGGTGAAAAGAAAACATCTGGTTATATTTAATCTATGTTTAATGATTCTGCATAAGGAGTGTCTGTAATTTGTAACTCACTGGAAAGCCAGTCATTAGAAAGTGTCAGTTCAATTTTTTACAAGGTTTGAGACTTAACCAGGCCAGTTGCCATTAATAGCAAACCCTGTTAGATCTATATGTGGGAAATACTCTTTAGGCCAGTGGGCGATAAATCAGACAACGCAGCATCTGAGAGTTATTCCTCAGGCTACATGGGTCCTAATTTAGACCAGACTATCCATATTGATGGCCGGGTCTCCTGTGTTTGATAAGTAAACCTCGACATGTCAAGTTATGATTAAACCATCCTAGGAGGGCTGCAGGTAAATGAGACTGTCACATGTTTCCCTAGGGCCCAAATGTCTCATGACCTCAAAGCATCATTTAGTCAACTTTTCACTCATACATATTAACAGCCCACACACTGCAAAAATAGCCCAGCTCGGCGGTGATTATTCATCAAAACAATGGGTTCCCCTGGGAGGTAGTGAGCTCTCTGTCAACAGAAGTATTTAAGCAGAGTCCAGAGGAGATTTCTTGGGTAGATGACCTTGAAGTTGCTTTAAGCCCCAAGTTTAACTTATTCTAAGATCTCTTGACTCCTTTCAGGTTAGAGTGCAAACTCTGTAACCTTGTGTTCAAACCTGCTCTGAAAGCCCCCGCCTACCTTTTGATCCCCTTTTCCCGCCCCCAGCTACCATATATAATCCATCAGCTATTCCCGGTAGCGTGCCCATGTGTCTGTGCTTTGCCCAGGCTGCTGCTTCTACACAGAATGCTTTTCTACCTTTCTTTTTTTAAAAAAAATTTCTTATTTTTTGAGATGGAGTTTTGCTCTGTTGCCCAGGCTGGAGTGCAATGGTGTGATCTCAGCTCACTGCAACCTCCACCTCCCGGGTTCAAGCGATTCTCCTGCCTCTGCCTCTCAAGTAGCTGGGATTACAGGCATGTGCTACCACGCTTGCCTAATTTTTGTATTTTTAGTAGAGACAGGGTTTCTCCATGCTGGTCAGGCTGGTCTCGACCTCCCTACCTCAGGTTATCTGCCCGCCTCGGCCTCCCAAAGTGCTGGGATTACAGGCATGAACCACCAAGCCCAGCCGTCCTTTTCCAACCTACAAGGTGAGGCCTAGCTGAAGTCCTGCATGGTCCATGGAGCCTTCCCCCAAATCCACACTGTCTTGTTTTAAGAAAGCCAGGGAGGGCAATAGGCAATGATGTGTGGAGGCAGCTCCTACCTTCCCACTGGTTGTTCAGTATTTGGGAATTTTGTGAATGATGTTAAACATTGGTACCTTGAAATCGGCCATAGGAGGAATATTGTATTTAAAAATCTGCAAATGATACAAATCAGGGTTTTTTTCCCCTACAAAGAGCTGGTTTAGCAGGACACCAATGTAATAAGCCTTATCTCTCTTTTCAACTCCTGGTAAGTGGCAGTAGTTCTTGGAGTTGGTGTTGTGAAGGATTCTGAGGTCAAGTCAGTACAGTGTATGGGGAGGGTTAGGGATGGTGGCCTGAATATGATGGGGAGGAGAGCTTGGAAGTTGCCATCTCCAGCCAGAGCCAGAGCCAGTTCCTCTGCTCTCCCACGGCATTCCCTGCCTTTACCCGTGGCACGCGGCACAGACCACGTGATGCCGCCTCTGATGCAGACCTCCTCTATGCTTACGTCACTTTTCATCCCTTTGACATGTATGTTGGAACCAGAATTTGTTTCTGCCACTTGCTAGCTGCGAAATCAGACAAATCGTCTCACCTCTCTGAGCCTGTTGACTGTGTTAGGGCCTTTGTCTCATGCCATGTGGGGCTCAGTTCTCATAAAGGCAGCCCAATCCCTGAAGAGGGAAGGAGCTACCTCCAGAGTGTGATGAAAATCTCCAAATCCCTCCACCCTTGCCACTTTCCTCCCAGAACCTCTCACCGCCCTGCCCAGTACCTCCCCACTGGAGACAGTACCTTGGTTGCAGAGAGCTCCAGAGAATCCTGGGAGGCACTCACAGATACCGCTGACATGGTGGCAGGGCCCACTGCTGTGCACGCAGAGGGGGCATGGCTGGGCGCAGCTGTGGCCATAGAACCCAGGGGGGCAGACTGGGCGAAGAGGAGATGCTGGTCAGCAGCCCAAGGGACCAGCCTAGCTAGCCACGTACCCATCCTAGCTAGCCATCCTGTTCCACGCTTCTCAAAAACATGGGGAGACCTGCATCCTTCCCACATCTTGGAGAGCTCACCCCTTTCTATAGAGAGGAGCTGTGGTGTGGCCGTGTTTCCATTGAGTAGCTGAGCTGGGTCCCAAACTTGGGGACAGAACAGCCAGTGCAGAGAGTGGGGAGACTAGAGGGAGGGAAGAGATGGGGGCTGATTCAAGAGCCCAGCCTCTCTCAGGCCAGGCCTAGTTCCAACTGGGGAGGACAAGGGAGGTTGAGCCCTCTGAGCCCGTCGAGGTCAGGGGATCAGCCTTACTTCTCTGGCATAAGGGTCCTCGGAAGCCAGGGGCACACTCGCAGCTCCCATCCTCTGGCGAGCAGGAGCCTCCATTCTCACAGCTGCAGGAGACGGAGCAGTTGGGGCCCCAGCGGCCAGGTGGACATGTGCTGTCACAGCGGATGCCTGTGGGCCAGAGGCAGAGTCAGGTCCGTGGTAAGAGAGGCGAGGGCGGAGGGAAGGATGGAGGGAAGGGGGACAGCGTACTATGAGGAGGTGGAGGTGAGCCTAGTGTATCCAGGAAGGTGGAGGAGAAACCCGGCTGAGGCTTGGCTGGTCATGGAGGATGCTCAGGAAGAAATGATGTCCAGAGTTCTAAAGGTCAAGGAGGAATTGACCAAGCAAAGGACATTACAAATAGTGAGTGTGGCTGAACCTACAAAGTGCAAGAGATGAGACTGTGGGAATAAGAAGAGACCAGATCACAAGGGCCTTCTCTGTGTGGCATCCAAGAACAGGACCAGGAGAAACCAATTATGGGCAAGTGAGTGCCAGCTGGGAGTGAGCCACACGTGCCCACCCACGTTAGCTCAGGAGCCACTGGTGCTGCTGGGTCTCTGCCAACCCAGCCAGGGAGGGGCTGGGAGGCTAGGTGGAGTCTTTTCAGATTCTTTTGACCAGAGTCCTCAGCGCACTATGCGTACCATTCATGCACACGTGCAATAGAAACCAGTGCTTTGCAAAATTACATTTACTGTCACTATGTATGATGGACTCTGATGTTTTCTCTGTACTATGCTGTATTTGATTTCATTTTTTAAAATGCTAGTTGTAACCCAACAATTTCATTTACTGACCCTCAGTTTGACAGTGGCCCAGTGGGGAATGGATGGAATTTCTCAATAAGAAAAAGGAACAAAGTCTGTATAGTCTTTTTGGGCTGAGGCAGAGGAAATGTGTGTTAGGTTCTCTACAGCCTGAAGGCGAAGAAGGAATTTTAAAAGGCCTGAGGCTGGATGCCCCAGCTCTGGGGTAGGTTTTCTTCCCAGGCAGAAAGGCTTCCAGTCTGACATGCATTAGGGAAATGGAACACGTGAGCCCAGGAGACTGGCTTGGCTTCGGAAGGTGAATATCAGAGGCTCAGAGAGGGGCAGAATTCGTTGAAAAATCACGTCTGCCTTGTTATTAGGACAGGGATTGTGGGAGAGAGGAAGAAAGGAGAAAGACACTCATGCTCAGTGAACAGAGCCAGCTTTAACAGCAGCAAGAGCGCTGTGGGACCAATTTAGAGGCAGGCTGGAATTGTACAAGCCCACCTGGGCTGGCAAGGAGACGGGAGGGAGGGTGGAACCGTCAGAGAGGGCGGGGGGGGATGCCATAGGCTTTACTCATCCTCCTCTTCCTCAGTCTAGCCCAGCATCTGTGCCCCCTCCCTATAATGTCTCCATTTTGCAGCAGGGTGGAGGCTTCAGATGTCACTCTTTGGGAAATGGTTGTGGGTGGGTAGTTGGGGCGGCGGGTGGCAGGGTTGGCGGTGCAAGTGGTTTCCTCCCCACGGAATGGGATCTGGCAGCCATATTTGCCATATTTTACCCATTGATTGGGGTCTCTCCCAGTGGTGTTTCAGGCACCCAAGAGGTGAACCCTGAACAGGCATCATAGATGGATTAAAGGGAGCTTGGGAAAGTGGAAACCATGAAACTGTTCAAAGTTTTAGATCCATCTTCAAGTGTCTCCTCTTCCTGGGCATAACAAAAGCTGTGATCTGACATAAGGCTTTTCTTTTTTGAAGACAGGGCCTCTGTTGCCCAGGCTGGAGTGCAGTGGCGCAGTCCCTGTTCACGGCAACCTCTACATCCTGGGTTCCAGCAATTCTCCTGCCTCAGCCTCACAAGTAGCTGGGATTACAGGCATAAGCCACTACAACTGGCTAATTTTTGTATTTTTAGTGGAGACGGAGTTTCTCCATGTTGGCCAGGAGGGTCTCAAACTCCTGGTCTCAAGTGATCTGCCTGCCTCAGCCTCCCAAAGTGCTGGGATTACAGGTGTGAGCCACTGCGCCAGCCTAGGACTTCTTTTGCCTGTGGTTGGAAACCCAGGATTCAGACCACAGGCCTAGGGACACAGCTGTTCCTTGGACTGAGGTAGAGCTTTGCTGCCTATAGGGCCTCCAGTTCTACTGCACACCGAGCACTCTGCCAGCTGACCAAGGCACATGTGTCACATGTAGACACTACTCTTTCCTAAAACTATATGTATTACTATATTCATAAAACAGTGTATGCGAAAGCACCGCTGAACGCACGGCAGCTGGCTGCTCTTGTGTTTGTCCCAGCCAATGACTATTAAAAGTACAGCTACTCTCACTGTGGAATCCTTAGTGTTTCCATGTAAAAAGGGGCCCTCTTTTATGGAGATTGAGAGCCATGAGTGTACCATGTTTATTCTCAGACTGAAGGTGGTTGCAAAGTCCCACTGGCTTCTAGGACTTGGCAGTTACTATATTCTAGGCCTGTTTCTGTGGGAGTGGGGCTCCTGTTGTGGTTCTTAAATGTCCCAAGAGCGTCTTAGAGCTTAAGACATGGGATCTAAGTGGAAAGAAGAGTCAGGGATTTCCCCATGTGGAGTGCCCAGTTTCTTTTTTTTTTTTTTTTTTT